AGAGAGAGAGAGAGAGAGAGAGAGAGAGAGAGAGAGAGAGAGAGAGATGGAAGAGCCGGAGGCCGCCAACCTCACCGCCAGGGAAGTGGGCTAATGAGAAACACACTGTTGCAGCACAGGATCCACACGTGAATTTGATTACTCCTTTTCTAGGAGTCGCTGCTTTCTGTTAGGAGTTGGGGGGGATCCTTCCAATTAACGGAGTGGCTACTACCTTTTAATTTACCCCTAACGGGTGAGAAATAAACTTCCCCAATGTGGCCAGGCCGAGGAATGGGACTAGAGTCTATGCCCTTGTGCCCTTCCTCGCTCTAATTTCCAGCCCTGGCCTTGAGCTGTGGCTACCCCTCTTTGGATCTTGTACCTCTCCACCGAGTCGCCAGGTCCCGTAGGTAACCAAGGCGAGGCCAGGAGTAGTGGCCAGAAAGGGAGGCAGGAAGGAGCCCTGAAAGGCTCACAGGGCCGCCGACAGGCCACAACTGTGCGGCTTCCCAGCCACCTCTCTTAGGCGGGGCTGCCTTTTCTGAAGCCGAACTGGCCTTCCATTGATGTCACTTGCTGAGTTTTTGTTGTTGTTGTTGTTTTGTCTTTTTTTTTTTTTTTTTTTCCCAGCTGGGGTTCAGGGAGCGCGACCAGGCTTGCAGCCCTCACGGTTAGGGCCTCTAGGTGGAAAACAGGGCTGGGTGGCCAGCCTTCTGCCCCTGGGAATTCTGATTCCCAGCTGATAAAAAGGGCGGGCTGGGAGCGCGTGTGCTCGGAGTTGAGAACCCCGGCCGAGCGCGCCCCACAACAAACCAGCCTCTCAAACCCTTCGCCTTGGGGCCTCTTGCCGCTATCCTCCGGCCAGCTCCTCAGTGGGGTCCTCACAGGAGGAGCAAAGGCGAATTTAAGGGCTGCCCAGGCGAGCGTCGCTCCAGGCGGGTAGCCGGTGGGGAGCTACACCGGCGGTGCTCCCTGGATGCCGGTTCCTGCCTGGAGTGCCCTGGCAGGGCAGGCGGCGGTTCCATTTGGGACAGATACTGCGTTGAATTTGACTTTTTGAGGCCAGGCTAAACTCACCTCTCCCGGACACCGCAGGGATTATTTACAGGGAGCTCGCCAACCAAACACAACAGTCTAATTTAACCTTTCCAAGTCCTCGTAAATTTTTACAGCTCGGAGCCACGGCGAGGCAAAAGAATCTGTTGGTCGTTCCCGACTTCCCGCCAGCCTGTGTGGCTTCTGAAACAATAACTCCTTATGAAATATCATAAATATAGATTTAAATACAGTAGAGCGAGAATGCGATTTGGCTGGTTTTTTATGGCTTCAATTATTGTCTAATTTTATGTGAGGGGCTCCGCTGGCCGCAATAGCACGCGGGACCCGCGCCTTCCTGATGGCGTGATTAATTGTGATATAAAATAGTCCGCTAAAGAAGTGTGTGCATGGGGTGGGGGGGCAGGGGAGAATACAGAGGCAAGGCCATTTGATCTTTTAATCTTCGTTGGCCACAATTAAAACAAACCCGATCGTAG